CTACTCTTTTGTCAATTTTGGTGCTTTTTCAGGCAATTCACCGGAAATGCAGTCGACAGTCACGGATATAGGGGTCATAAAGGCACACTAGTCTGGGGTGAAGTCGAGGGTTCGCTCCCGTATTTGAATTTAGCATGGCAAGACGATTTCGGAAAATGGAAAAACGGGTTACGGGGTATCTGTTTCCCCAGCTCGCCCACAGCGCAGGATCGGCAGAAGCAGTTATTGATCGGTTCGGCGATAAGATAGTGCTTCATATTTCATGCATGACGTGTTGGGTAAACATTACCTGTTGGCAGTAAGCACATGTGTTGGTGGCCAAACAGTTGGTCCGGCCATGCCCTACTTTATTTTGTAGTCTTCCATACTTTGTGTATGATATGGTGGGTTCACATGACCTCCTAAGCTATAAATATGCGTTTGGTTGCCAAACAGTTGGTCTAGCCATGGTCTGACCAACCAAACCGGTTCAGCCGCCCTTACATCAGTACAACTAACCTCAGCAACAAGTGAATCATCATCAGAGGAGAGAGCATCACTTGCATCTGCAGCTGCTGCTGGATTGGAATGAGTTGGTTCCTGCGCAAGGCTCATCTGAAGAACATGTGTGAGCACAGGTATACAGACAAAGCATTGGAAAACCATGCAAACAAAATCTCAGAAGATACAAGAAAGTTCAATACCTGTAAAAAAATTTAACAACTTGTTTTCACACTACGAGTATCAAGCGCGCGCTCATCAGCGCGCCATCTCTTATTTTAAGAGTCAGAATCAAATCCGTGATTATTTCTTTTCCAGTCATTCAACAACTGCACCTTCTCTGATGAGGTCTTAGCGATCGAAACAGCAGCTGCTGTCAGAACGAATAAGACTTCAACGCTCGAAGGAACCTCTTGTTGCTGTTGTGGGCAAGCGAGCGTGTTTAGGAGGTCGGCCACAGAGCCCAATGGTGGTGGTGAATGCCAACGCAGAAGCTTTCAACGACCGAATGCTGCTGCTTACCCTCTGGCTATGATACAAGAGATGTTTCCTAAATAATCTCCAAATCCACTGCAACGCTTTCCTTGCAAGTACTTGAAGAGCAAGGTTTAGGACTATTCGAGCGTGACTCAATCGGGATTCTGCAATGGCCTAAGCACAGCGAATGTCGTGTGGACTCGATCACTGTTCATTCGTTACCAAACGGGATGCCACATGCTGGGTCCGGATATGAGCAAGGTGTTTGACACCGTCAACAGGAAGAAACCGCTCGATGTCATGTCCATTACCATTAGTCGTGAAGAGCTGACCCTCCTCCACATACCCCTGCACTATCAGTAGTCATGATGAGCTGCTGACCCTCCTCCACATGCCGCTGCATAACACCATGTTCCCAAGTCAATATTGGAAGCTCCTTGGCCACACTGTTCACCAGCACGATAGGCACGCCGCAGGGAGATGGCCTGAGCCCTGTCTTGTTCGTTTGTTACCTTGAGGCAGCACTAAGGGACTGCAGGATGATGCTATGCTCCCGTCCTATGGAGGATAAAACCATTCCTTCCGAAACAGGATACGCAGGTGACATCTCGCTCTACAGCGATACCTCGCTCTACAGCGATACCTCGCTCTACAGCGATACCTCGCTCTACAGCGATACCTCGCTCTACAGCGATACCTCGCTCTACAGCGATACCTCGCTCTACAGCGATACCTCGCTCTACAGCGATACATCGCTCTACAGCGATACATCGCTCTACATCGATATCTCGCTCTACAGCGATATCTCGCTCTACAGCGATATCTCGCTCTACAGCGATATCTCGCGCTACAGCGATATCTCGCTCTACAGCGATACCTCACTCTACAGCGATACCTCCCTCTACAGCGATACCTCACTCTACAGCGATATCTCATTCTACAGTGATTTCTCACTCTACAGTGATATCTCAATCTACAGCTCCCACCCTACTAAAGTTATCTTTGACGGTGAACCAGGACAAAATGGAATGGGTAGAGTTAAGTGACCAAGCGGGAGCCTTGAAGCTGACCAAGCAGCTTAGTTCTCTGCTGGATTCGGAATGTGATATAGCTACGTGAAGTGTGGGTTGCAATGAGGGCTGGCGACACCATCCCCGGCCTTAACAAATTTTCTTCAGACTTTTCCCGTTTGCATCTTTCCTCACAATCAATGGATATTTTTTTCAAGTAGGGCAGAAACGACCATTCAATAACTCCTAACGATCAGCCAATATCATTAACGACCGATATATTGGTTTTATTAATTTTTGTCGAACTAGAGAATTTCATGTTGTTTTCAGAGCGAAGAATCTTGTTATCACCCTTTGGAAACTGCTCTCATCAACTTAAAAAAATAGACCGAAAAGACAGCGTCTTCACTCCAGATCTTTTTCAAAGCCACAAATCAATTTTACTGCGCTTGAAAGTACATGATTGCACTCGTATTTACTATCGGATGGAGTGCAAGGGCTAGAACACTGTCAAAGATGTGCATGTGCACAAAAATCGTTAGCACTCATTTGGAGAACTAACGATTATCGATTGCACTCCTAACGATCAACATGCGAGTTATCGGTATAATTGTTTCAGCCCTATTTTCAAGACGATTATTTCTTCATGTCTCCAAGGACCCCCCTCCCTCCCCACTCAAAACAAACATGCACACGTTTAAGAAGGATATCGATATTATGGTGAAGTGCAATCTCCTCTTGAAACGTGACCAACATCAACTCCAAATTCACCATTCACCTTGCCATGGCTGTATTCTTGAGGTTGACTTTCACTCTGTGAAAGTCATCAACTATATGTTTGCACAAAGCCTGTACAAATCTAGAGATCGGTTTTTCAAAAGGACGAGATGAACAGGAACCGCCCCCACCCCCCCCCCAAAACAAACCAAAATCTCCTAAAAAATGTTGATATTTGTGGACAAATCCTAAGTTTGAGGGAAATTAACTTAAAAAGGAAAATTCGGAAGAAGAAAAAGAAGAAGAAAGGAAATCAATAGACTTTGCCTAGCCTATGCTTTGCCGACATTACTAACCTGTACGTCCTCAAGCTGATCGAGAATGTCCCTCTCCGCTCGGTCGCGTTGTGCTCGCCGAAGATCTTGCTCTCGTTTGTACGCCGCAACATCACGCAACTGCAAGTGGCACATCATAGCATGCACTATTCAGTTAACACATGTGACGTGTAGGATTAGTTGCTGTTCTGCAAATCAACGTTTTAATTTTGATTATAAATAAATAAGCGGCTCAGAGACAATAACTTTATTATAGCAATCAGTGAAGCGGATATTGGACGTAGTAATCAACAAAAGAAAATATGAATGTCTCTAGAAAACTTGCTAGGAAATCTTATTATCCATATTTTATTTTGTCGATTACTACGTCCAATGTCCGCTAATCTGATCCTGCTGATTGCCATGATTGTACTTTCCACAAAGTGCATAGTTTTATGGTGTTGCGCAATGCATTTTTTGAATTGTGCATACATCCACGTGCCAATGAAAACCACTATGCATGTACTTACACAATCATACAAATGTACATTTGTACTCCCATTGACCATATACGCACACGCAAACATGCACGCACCCACCTCCACCGTCCCGCCCCCCCCCCCCCACACGCAAACGCCCTTCCTCCTCCTCCCCCCCCCCCTCCCCACCACACACACTCTCACCTTATCCATAACCGCCAGCTTCTGCTTCTGTTGTTATTGTCTCCGCTTCTATATCCCCAGCATTCCAGTCATCGTTTTTTCTTGGAAATGCAGCAGAAGCGAACGTTGCGTACTACAGCCGCTGTTTAAAACTTCGAAGTGAGACTTCATTCAAACACCGCCCGTTCAGCACGCCACAGACCACTAAGCAAGTCATAACGCACTGAGTTTTCAACGTCAGTCGAGCGTAGACCTACTCAGTCTTGTTGGAGAAAAGTCAAGTTGGGAAGGTCAGGTTCGCGGACCTTCCACACTCAGAGTTATTTCGGGAGCACCAAAACGTGGACTTGCTCTGCGCTAATTCGACCTTCACAAGTATTCGTGACGAGTCAAACTTTCGTCTCCAGACTGCCGCTCGTGCACTTTGTGGCAAATTGGAGGTTCGCCTGAAGGAAGCTCACAAGAACAGCTTCATCTGTCTGCATTGCACTTTGCAGAAGGCTAACGCTGCACGCGCACGCAGCAAGAGCAGGAACGAAATGACTGTCAGCAGCAAATGTTGCTCATTTTTCATTGATTCATTTTTGACTTGCTACATTCATCATAATAATGTGCATCCACATTTTAGCACGGCCACAGACCTGCACTTCTAGCTGCTGTGAACCGTGTCATGTGATCGAACAGCGTGTGGTTACGTGGTTCATAGATCTACGAAGTAGTGAAGCCTGAAGTGAAGGGTGACTTGCTCCAAGTAAAAGTGTGACTGTGTTACTTGGGCCGTCAATTACTCTATCCGTCACATGGTGCCTGGTTACGCTCAACCTTCTGTTTGAAGTTCTGTAGTGGGACCCTCACAGAATGCATAGCATTAGTGCGAAGTCAACCACACACCGTAGCATATCCATGGCCAACAGCTGTGGGTCGCGCTCTCGCCACATACGAAATTCAGACCTGCCCAATCATGTTATGCCTGGTCCACACTACAAATAGAACGATTTTTCGGCCATTTATAGATATTGAAAAATCCCCAAGATCGGCACGAAAATCGCTTGGTGTGGGCGCCGGCTGTGTTGCAGCGTTGTAGCACATGTTTGTGTGTAGAGGTAGTCCGAGCACATGTTTGTGTGTAGAGGTAGTCCGAGTGTGTCCGACACAGTCGGCCGATTTCAAGTCGGTGTCGGCGCCGGAAAATCGGCCGAAAATGGGTACTAGCAGTGTGAGCCAGGCATGACTCTGTACCAGTATTGCAGTAAGTGCCTTTAGCATCTTGTTGCAATCGTTGCAGTATACCCAATATTGATTCATTAGAATGTCGGATAAGCCCACCCGCGTATAAGCCCATGCCCGCGCATAAGCCCAGGGTTTGTTCGAACATCACACAGCTTCATCGTACAAGCCCATGCCATGGGCCTAGGTCATACCGGGAGTCCATAAATTATGGACTCTTGGCCATACCATGTACATGTACATGTACGTAGTACATGCACATTATAGTTTTTTTCGTACATTTCTTGTTTTTGTTTGCACAATGGTTTTCAGCAATGTCCTTCACACTTGCTTGATACTTTTCAATAGCACAACTTGGTGTCGGCGTATAAGCCCATGTCCGCGTTTAAGCCCATGTTCTCGTATAAGCCCACCGAAATGTCCTTGTGAAACAGATAAGCCCATGGGCTTATCCGCGGGATTCTACGGTAATACTTTTACGGTCCGATCATGTGCATTACAGGAAAGCCATTGCACTATTGTGACAACTCGCTTCAGACATGCGCCTAACTATCAGCAAGAGTATACAATCATAACCACAGTGGAGGTTATGTCACCTACTCCACTGTGGTTATGTCATAACCTCCACTGTGGTTATGTCATAACCTCCACTGTGTTATTGTACTCTTCCTATCACATACACGTACATGACTGTACATCACAACTCCGGTGTGACGGTGTGATCCAAGGAGTAAGGTGGAACACAGTGAGTGCGTTCGATTACGAACTTGAATCGATTCCTGAACGGAATCACGTTCGATTACGAACTTGAATCGATTCATGAACGGAACCTCGTCGTTCGATACCATGTCATGACTCATGAGCCCTGAAATCGATTCGGACTACATTCATCCTATTCACATGGGCATGGGGTAATGTGAACAGCCAGGGGCGATTCATGAATGTGTTCAGGAATCAATTTGCGGGCATAATCGTACGCACTCAGTGCACAGCTGCGAAACCAGGATAAATCCTCTAGATAATCGAGATTGTGATTATTCCTGGCGATTTAATTCCAGATATATCAGTATAATATTTAAGTGGGAATATTGAAGCGAGGCAACAGTACAGTATCTGCTGAATAGAGAGGAGATCATAAAATTATTTTACTTTGGTTAGAACCAGTTCATTGGAATCACCTTGCTAAGGCCACTTCATGATATTTGAAGTTGTGTTGAAAAGGGGAAAAAGGCTGCAAAAGCACTTATTGACAAGACTGAAATATTTTAACCAGATATCTGAACGTCGTACATAAGAAGTTCATGTCACAAAAGTACATGTAGAGGTTAAGAGGTGGAGGGACACTTTGCTAAATGTGGCATTGAGTCAACAGCTAACCCATGCACACCTTTGGGGAATTCAAGGCTCTGCTTGGCCGCCATTCTCATGCCATGATATCAGATGTACATGTACACCCTACTTGTTTTCGGGATCACCCAAAGAATGGTGGGAAGAACACCGTTGGAGCTGTTACTGGCTTGCACAGCTCTTGAACTTCGAAGAGCGATGTGGATGGCCGATAGCGAATGGACGAGGCAATGTTAGCTCCGTTGCGGTCTTCAACGTACAGTGCCAGTGTGCGGTTGCCCTTGCCCAGGGTGCTTTGGCTTGTCGCCTCACAAACCCCCTCCATGCGCAACGGCAGAATGCTCAGGCCGTTTGTGTTGTCGTGATGGTGGAAGTAGGTCTGCAGTTTCTCCGGGGTCTTGCATTCGGAATTGTCGATTTTGAAGTAGAACCTGGTGATCTGATTGCCGGCTGGCAGGTTGATGCGAACTGAGGCGGTGTAAGAGATACGTAGCGCAGTGCTGGACTGTAGCTTGGCGAATATCATTTGTGCGATGGGTTTGTTCTGAGAAACGGCTGGAGCATTGTACGACACCTGGTACTCGTATCCAAGGTACTGGCGGGAACAGAGGTTGAGCTTTTTCTGAAAGACACATACACACACAAACACACACACATACACGCACACACACAAACACGCACACACACAAACACGCACACACATACGCACACACACATGCAAGTACGACACCATTGAAGTAGTCATGGAACCTTGATGAGAGAGTGCTGGCTACACTGACATTGTGGTATAAGACGAAGGACAGATTGTTGCCCGTTTTGATTATCAGTCCACCGTTGTTATTCTTTCTCGCAGCCATGACTACAATTGCATCACCATCAAATTTTATAGGCTTCATGATCCTCTTTCTAACTTACAAGGTCCTGGTGCTATAGGATGTTTTAGAGATGAAACAATAGACTACTGTAACGATGGGACAGAGAGATTAGTAGATCGGTCACACAACTCATCTAAGTCAGGGCCATGAGCAGTCAGCCAAATAAAATCAATCCAGCACTTGCACTGCAGATATGTTTTTAGTTTTAGTACTTGCAAACATAGCAGACTCAGCAAAGGACGTTCAGGTTCACTGTTTAATGCCGCTAGGCAATCACCAGACAGCTGACATCCTTCGCTGAGTCTGCTTTGTTCTAAGCTCAATCTATGGCATTGAGCACTTTCTGCAGGTCGGGCGCCAACGGAGTTGTGTTTGGAAACCAAGATATGTTTTGGATAAAAAGAAAGGATAACAAGTTACACTTATGACTATTAAACAGTCCGCCAACGTACATGGATCAAGTCAGCGAGTGCGACAAAAGGTACAAATTGGCAAGGAGTAACATTTTGTCCGTTCTTTTTATCCTTGATTACGTGGGCTTAACATCCGAGTTCCAAAAAAATGTTTATAAACCAAATTTTGCACCTTACCGCTTCTCGTTCAACTTTGTCTGGCCATTCTCTGTCAGCTTGGTTCTGCCTGAATGTCAAGGACTTCAGTGTCACATCATTCTTTTCGGCGGCGATGGACATTGTTGAGAGTTTCGTACTTTGCGCAGACACCTCTTCCTTCAGGACGTGCAGCGCATTGCCAAAATCTGTAGTTGCCTTATCTAGCAATGCACAAAACGAACACAGATGTTTGAATGAATAGTATTATAAGAGCAAGCAATCATAAATATCTAGAATATCTCTATTTCCTATCTTCATTTCCTTTTAGAAGAGGTTGGTGCGACTTCGGCGATAGTTGGGGAAGTGTGCGTGTTATACTCCCTACATGAGAGCTCGCGGTTTTCCTGCCGACGTGAATTCTCACTTGACTGACTCGCGACTGCCATCCAGAGCACACGAGAAGTCCATCGAACCGTCCATTCGGCAAACCTGCAAGAAAGCACCATTCCCTGCTCAATACACAGTATTTCAGGGAATTCACCCCTCATAAATTGAGTTCACCAGAGCTCGGTGGAGGCTATTTGGCCATATCCTTCGACTTCCCAGTGATGCCCCCGCCGTCCTAAGCATGGTCAGCTACTTTGAATGTGATGACCACAAGTGGAGAGGCCGCCCTCGCATCACCCTGCCGGTGGAGCTCGAGGACGACCTCAACCGGGTGCAGGCGATTGCAGAGCCTGGAGGATCTGGAGCGCCTATCAGACGTAGCTGCAGTTCGAAGCGAATGGAGGCAGCTACTGGATATGATCTGCGAGTAGAGGTTTCGGCGATGAAACCGCGCCGTCGCCTTTTTCCCAGATCACGGAAATATCGCTCAATACACTTTAAACATTCTATACACAAAGGATTTACAGCTACGTTTGTGCTTGTTGTCTTTATGTCTCCTATATCAACTGCTTCTCTTACCATGTCCAGCATAAGCGAACGTTAGGACTGTGTTTGTGCATGGGTGACTTGCACTTGCACTGTTGACGCTGCCGCGGGAATGCATAATAATAATAATTATAATAATAATAATAATAATAAGTTGAGCTTGAGTAGGCTGAGGAAGATTGTACCTGAAGAGCACCATTTATATAGTGCTCTTCAGGCACAAACATCACCAGGGATACAAACTTACAGAGACGCTCCGTTTCAGGCGCGACAAACACCTCGTGAACACCAGATAGCAGCGTCAGTCAGTGTCGCTCATCAGTCATGGAGGTGCTGAACAAGCGCTGAGGACCGTTGCCTATTCACAACATTGTTGCCTCCAAAGCATCTAATTCGCAAGCCCGCACTGGGGACAACAGTGTGAAGAAGAGGTTGGTGCGACTTCGGCGATAGTTGGGGAAGTGTGTGGCCTCAACCGAAGGTCCCTGGTTCGAGTTCTAGTTGTGACAGTCGATTTTTTCTTTAGTCTTTTTCCCGTTTACATCTTTCCCTCAAACAAATGAATATTTTGCACATGAATTCAAATACAATATATTTGAATACATAATACATTATATTTGAATTTTCAAGTACCACACCTTGTTCGCAGTAGTGGCCTCCATAATTGCCGGAACACTGACAGTAGTAGTGTGGATTCGTAACTTGAAGTGGCGCGCATACGCCTCCGTTCTGACACTGCACGGCGTAACATTGCGGTGTGGCTCGCTCTGCACGGGAACAACAAATGATAAAAGCATGTACAGCCAACTTGGCTAATAACGACTGCGGATATAACGACAATTCGCGAATAACGACATAATTTCCATGCCCAGAGCAAAGTCCCATCCCACTGTAATACATATAATGAGACTTCGGGTATAACGACACTTTTCGAATAAGGACACTTTTTTGATGCCCCGCCGAGTGTCGTTATAAGCGAAGTTGACTGTACAGTGAAACCTGTCTAAGGCGACCGCTCAAGGGACCTTCGAAATGCGGTCGCTGTGTACAGGTGGTCTCCTTAACCAGGGTCATTTGACTGAAATTGACCACCCGTGGTCCTGGTTGTAGCGGTCCCCTTCGACAGTTGAGTTGGTCGTCTTATCCGATTGGTCGCCTTGACAGGTTTTACTGTACATACACATGCAAAGCTAATCTGGCAAATACCACTATTTCATTTTCAAACTGCAGCTTAGTCATTGTTGTGATTTGCTTTCAAGCAATGTGCATAATCAGTAAATTGTTGTTGTTGTTGTTTTTTTGTTGTAGTTTTTTTGGGTTTTCCCGTTCTCGGGGCCTTCTATTCGGTACTCTTTGTAGTTGTACTTCTGTACTGTTGAGTTATCCGAATTCAAATAAACACTAAAAAAAGTATAACCTACCCTAACTGCATCTATGGCAGACTATGGGTCACATGATGTTGGCCATGTTGGTTCCACTGTCCACGATGCCATGATCACTCTCTGCCCAAATTTCGCTAGATGTCAAAGATGTCACCCAATACTTCTGCAGTGTCCCGTATATTCTATCCTTCCGTTGACTTCATCCAGTCCGTGCATGGTGTTTTCAAGTCATTCAATGGTGGGGAGAGGTGATACAGACTGGTTTGGATAACCAACGCATCAATTCATTGCACTGCCAATTTAGGCCGATGATATCATTCATTGTGTATGCCGTGTACGGAGTGGCTAACCCTTGTCAAGGTGAACACTTCAGGGTGGGTTTAATTACATAATTTAGATGTGAACTTTTGTCCTATCCCCAATTAATGTTGTACTTAAAATGCTACGAGTTATGACTAACTGTCCACCAACGCAACCAGATCATAATACTGTACAGTCAGCGAGTGAGACAAAATGGCACAAAACTGACCGTTAGTCATAACTCGTAACATTTCGTCCTTCTGTTTTTGTTACCATCATTAAATCGGCTCACCATCCGAGTTCAATGTTGTACTTGTTGATGTACTTTAATAGCTAACTAGGTAAAGTAACAGACTGATCGATGGCTTACGCAGGCAATTCCTCAGCTTGAGCATACTCTTGCGAGGCGGTAGCACGTGGCCAATCGCCCTGGCCAGCTCCAAGTCTGAGGCTTTGAGGATTTGCTGAACGGAGAAGCCCTCCATGGCGAAATACCGCTCGTACACAGCGCCCGCCTCGGGTGATATACCCGCTGCAACCATTGTCTGCGACATACAGGATGGCATCCATGCCACGTCATGACTGGCGTCTACAGATTGGGTTGAAAAGAACAAGAAAAGTTGTATTTTACTATACCAGGCAGAGCCGGACTTATGCATTCAGAAAGAATTGTCTCATCTCTCCTTCACTACTCAGACTGATCGCTTTTCTAGAGACAGGAAGTTCTTACCGCTTCCGCTAAGCGCCACTCTTGCGAACCTGAAGACCAGGAGGCTAGACAGGAAGAAATTGGCCAAACCCGCCATTCCAGCTTGCGAAAATCCACTCCGCCGCTGCGGTCTCCAGTGGCCGTCTATCTGTATCTATTGAATCAGAACGTAGTTTGATCTGCGCAAAGTTGGCGCGGTGGTGAAATCATGAGGATAATGACTTCTAAACTATGGCGTTGCAGCATGCAAACGCAGTTCCGTTGCCAGAAATCCTGCACATTGTTAATGTTCACATCAATAGGGCACACGCATGAGGTGATGGGAGTAGCAGAGGCCAGTCAGACCGTAGGAATATAGCACTTCTCGCCTCTGCTCTGCTAAATCTGTGCTTTCCATGTCTTACTGGTAGCGCTATTGTATTGCTAGGTACTTACCACTCTCACATTTTCGGCTCGCGGCAATATGCCGCCAACCACGTAAGTAAGTTAGTGTTCTAGAGGTGTAGCGTATCCGGCAGTGAACACAAAGCAAGACATTCACATGACACACACGCACTTTGTGGCCTACATACTGTGAACGGTAGGGGAAATCCCGTCGACTGGGGCACGTATCGAAAAGTCATCTTCTGTATTGGTTGCACGTTGACGAATACAACGACGGCGTACATGGGGGTAGGGGTGCACTGCGAGTGCGTGTTGATGGATAAGGATACACTGTACTTGCGCTAGGAAAGTGCCCTCTACTTTAGCCTGAAGTTTCTTTCTATTTCCGCCACCTACTACGAGCGCGGTCAATTTGCCATGACGTTTCGCAATTTCGACGCATAGCTAGGATTGCAAAGTACTTCACATATGGAAAGTGTGCCTGGCATCATAATCGTCCACTACTCAATACATGTCAGGCACTCGTAGTGAATGACTGTGTATGATGCAAGCTTTTTATCTATAAAATTATTGCACGCATACTACATAGCTATATAGGGCTCTTCACTTTCCCAATGCCACGTCTTTACTTCGCACATAATGCACTAACTTCCACACTAGCATCAAATATCTAGGCCTGCTCGTAGAGAATTCGATAGTGAATGCTGCTGTCTGATGATCGCTCCGGCGCGTGAAACGTGACGTTAGTTACAGCTAACACAGCCTTTCGCCTCTGTTGTGTGTGTAGGGCTTTCCAAGCACATGTAACAACTCCCTTTCTCTTTGCCGCCCAGGATAGCCAATTACTGTTGGGCCAAAAGCAACTTAACTGGTGATCATATCCTTTGTTGCTGAACGAGCCCTCTCAGTGCTGGAGTTATTGGGGATGGCCTTGCCCCGGTGAACAACACGCAGCAAGAGCTAGTGTTTGTGATTATGGCGAGTGTACAACTAGCGCGATCACACAAGGATAACAAGACCTCTGGAGGGTGGAGTCAACACCACGGAGTCCCGACATATCACCGAACGACAATTCACCGAATACCCAGTTCTCGGACCACCCCCCCCCCCCAAACACAGCTGCGCTAGTGAACAGTCAGTATTAGTCAGCCCCGAATCGATAGTTATTTGTTTTGTCACACCTCAACTTCTGTGGTATAGTTCTATCTTCGTCCTCTTTGAAATTTAACTCTTTTTGGTATTTTGTCTTGAGCCGAGTTTGTGTTCTTTGTAAAAATTAAAAAAACTCTGTAAGTTGTGCCCTGGCTTATGTCCATAACGATAATTGAATACGGTCTCATCGAAACACAATGTACCCCGCAGTCGCACATCTGACGGCAAAACTTCCGTGACGCAGCTCCCCGGATAAGGTGTGGGTCCTTTTCACTCAGTGGAGACAGAGTCGAGCGAGCTATACTCTCGGTGCCGAAAACTGCCCCTACATGGCTTGTTCCCCTTGTCTAACCCCCAAGACGAAAATGAAGTATTGTAGCCAACTGGCCAAAATTTAAAAACCAAAAAAAATGTTCAAGTACACTGGTTGTGATCCAGATAACCCCGCCGCCTCTGCCTGTGCTCTCCGAAGTACCAGCGCTGCTCGATGAAATCCAGTCGCAACCTTTAAGTACGCGCAAGGCGTTGCGCAGCCGTAGACCATGAACACTGGGCTGTGAGATAATGCGAGGCTCAAACTTGAGAGTTGAGGGACGTGACTGGATTTCATTGAGCAGCATTGTAACAGTCCTGACGTTCCTGCAGGGCTGAGAAACTGCCTGCTTGTGTCACATGATTAATTTAGCATGATTCATTTGAATTCAATCAGAACAAAGTCACAAAGCAAAGCTATGACGGGAAAAATAATATTCCTCGCTTCCAATAACTACTGCGCGGCGCGTATGAAGGCCACGTGATTACGAACATCTAGAGAAGCCAGGGAAGGGAAGGTGAGTGAAATGACAAGAGACAATGCTCACGATGACAGAGAATCTGAGAAAAGGGAGAGAATCTGAGAAAAGGGAGAGAATCTGAGAAAAGGGAGAGAATCTGAGAAAAGGGAGAAAATCTGAGAATAGAGAGAGCATCTGAGAAAAGGGAGAGCCTCGCAATCTGAGAAAAGGGAGAGAATCTGAGGAAAGACACGGAATCTGAGAAAAGGGAGAGCCTCGGAATCTGAGAAAAGGGAGAGAATCTGAGGAAAGACAGGGAATCTGAGAAAAGGGAGAGCCTCGGAATCTGAGAAAAGGGAGAGAATCTGAGGAAAGACAGGGAATCTGAGAAAAGGGAGAGAATCTGAGGAAAGACAGGGAATCTGAGAAAAGGGAGAGAATCTGAGAAAAGGGAGAGAGTCTGAGGAAAGACAGGGAATCTGAGAAAAGGGAGGGAATCTGAGAAAAGGGAGAGAATCTGAGAAAAGGGAGAGAATCTGAGAAAAGAGAGAGAATCTGAGAAAAGGGAGAGAATCTGAGAAAAGGGAGAGAATCTGAGAAAAGGGAGAGAATCTGAGAAAAGGGAGAGAATCTGAGAAAAGCGAGAGAATCTGAGAAAAGCGAGAGAATCTGAGAAAAGGGAGAGAATCTGAGGAAAGACAGGGAATCTGAGGAAAGACAGGGAATCTGAGGAAAGACAGGGAATCTGAGGAAAGGGAGAGAATCTGAGACCAATGTATAATTCACTCAACTACTGGTGCAGGTGCAAAGATTCGCTCCTTACACAGGTACATATTACACATGTAGCTGATGCACCTAATTGTCAGAGCATGCAATTGCGTTCTTGGGTATATCTGCGAGGCGAAACCTAGCTATCGTTCCCATTTCCCCATCTAAATAATGTAGATTTCGATAAATGTGACAGAGCAAAAACAGGAGTTCAGGCTGGCAAAGACAATTGTGGATACGCGATCTGCATCAGAAATGGCGTCACTCGGAAGGTGAGTATGTTAGTTAGTCGTCGATTAATCAACCGTCCACTGCAGGGAGAGTGCGGTACAGTCAGCAGAGTGTAGATGACAGAAACACAATGCAATCGCAGAAACAGAAGGAAGATAAATGACTTATTTTGTTTATGTAGATGAGATCCTTGATCGCGTAGAAACGTGTGATATTGAAGGGAGAAGATCTTTGATAATAATAATTATGGCAAACTGCTCCTGTACTCCAGATGTGACTTGCTTGAGACCGGGTTTATTCAGATGTGATTTTCTTGAGAACGGGTTTATTCAGATGTGACTTGCTTGTACGTAGTAGTTTAGGTGTAGCTCCGGTGAGACGCCTGTTGTACTACACTATGGTGTTGATCATTTGCAGAGTTCCTGCACTTGAAATAGCGATGTTGACGGGTACTGTACTGTCGGTGTGCTCACCTGGTTCTCAGGCACTTCGCCGTACAGCGCAATCTCGCGATTTCCCTTGGCCAGCGCGCCGTTTGTCGTCTCCTCACAAACTCCCTCGATCAGGATGGGAATGTTGAGGTCGGCCGAGGAGCCGGGCTGATGGAGCACCATTTCGATCTTGTCCGGCACCTTGCAGTCATATCCGTCGATTTGAAAGTACCATCGCGTGATGATCTGGCCAGCTGGTACGTGGATGTGGAGCGATGTGGAGTAGGAGATGCGCAGGGCAGTCTTCGCCTGCTTCTTCTTGAACGTCATCTGCGTCACTGTGCCGTTCTGGCCAACGTTTGTAGTGTTGAACTTGCTCTTGTACTGGTAGCCAAGGTACTGCCTTGAGCAGGATTGCAAATGGCTCTAAAAACAAAACAAGGGAAATTCACACAAAATTGAATTTCTAGTCCAAAGCCCTTCTGGGGGGGGGGGGGGGGGGGGGGGGGCGTTAAATAATTTCCGAGGTGATCAAACGTACAGTGTACATATCCTAAAAGGAAGTAAATTCGATACACTTCACAATGGATTGCAGCACACGTGCCACTCCAAATACTGTATCTCGAAAAGTCCTAGTGACTCATTGTCACACAGTATTTTCTTTTAAAACCAATCTTGATAGGAGCTTTTCATAGAACGCCTCCTTGTATTATATAATTATGTACAAGTAAATTATTGTAATGATCCATGCGAGTTGAGAAACCAATCTCCTGGAATGCGACTCGTAAGTTGTCATGTCGACAATCGGATTTCAAAACAGGAGGTAGCTTTCCGAACATGTACATGCCCTTTTCACGACCGTTATCTCCAGGCACATTGAACTACCTACTTGAAATACAGTCAACTTCGCTGATAACGACTGCGGATATAACGACAACTCGCGAATAACGATAGCCCAGAGCATAGTCCCATCTACCCTGTTAACATTATAATGAGACTTCGGGTATATGGACACTTCGCGAAGAAGGACACTTTTCTGATGCCCCGCTGAGTGTCGTTAACTTATACGCAAAGTTGACCGTGTTATGCACCCCATGACCATCACGTGTACCGTATTAATAATTATCTTGTTGATAATGGAATTTGATCATAGGAGATAGGACAGAAGCGGAACGTATAATTATACCCAGATAATTATATTATTACGCGTGCTGTGGTATTATTATTATTATTCAACGCAACAAATAGAGTAAGCTGCGCACTCAGTACAAACACCATTAGCAAAACTTGTTGTACATTTTTATCTCCACGGAAGCTTTTTAATTATTATTATTATTATTATTATGACAATCACGACATTAACTGTGCACCATGATGATTATAGGCTAAAGCATCAATGTTCGAGTTTGGAGTGAGTCACGTGATCACATACCAGTGCACTGGAGAGGAGAGGCTGGAAGAATCTCTCCGCGAAATCCACCCTGGCCTTTAGCGTTCGGATGGACCAGCCGTGCGAAGTCAGCGTGTGATCCAGGGTTTTGATGGTTTCTTTCTGCTTGTCTACTGTCGACTGAAGTTGTTTCAGTTCCTCTACGGCTTTGCTGTTCTCTGAAATACAGCAGCAAACAACAAATCGAGAATATTATAGTCCCCAGGAAAATCGCAAGCGCCTACATATGGAACAACAAATACAAGCAATTCGAGGAAAGATGACCCTTCACTTCACGCTGTTCAGCATTATTATCAAATGCTTTGATAGAGGAGAAGACTGACAAGACTGAGAGCTTGTGATGAAACGTACGAACTAACTATAATGGAATATGACTTGCATAACAAGCACCTCCTTACATCTAACTACTGGGAACTTACTCTTTTCGCAGAGGCCACCAGAGTACAAGGCAGGACACTTGCAAGTGTAGTAATGATACCACATGGTGCTGTCCGGCTCGCAAGTGCCCCCGTTCTGACATTTGGCCAGGTAGCATTCAGGTGTTCGACGCTCTACAGGCAGTATACACACATAAGCAAGAACACTTGTTAACGGGGAGCAAGTTCCTGCTGTTCATGGAGACGGAGAGAGAAAGAGGGCATAAGAGAAAGGTAAAGAGAGAGTAGGGAGAGAGAGATGGAAATAAAGAGAGAATAGATTCACAAACGGAATCCTCCAATGTCTAGGTAAATATACCGGCAAGCGAAGTTTAGTTAGGAGAACCGAAAGGATTCGGGGCAGTGACTAAACTTAGAGGAGTGAAGCAGTAAGCCGTTTGTAAGCAATCAGTTGCACTCAAGCACAAGAAATGATCTTGATGAAAGGCTCTCGCTGGAACTGCTCATTGTGATCATGCACAACATGATTATGAGGGTAAACCCGAGGACGAGGGTTCTTCTAGATACAGTACTAGGATGCTGGACATATAGCACATACATTTAAAAGAAGGTTTAGACAGGACTATCTAGCGTCATTGAATGTTAAAAAATATCTTTTTGCAAAAGGACACAAAACCGGCTCAAGAAAAAAATTGTCTTCAGCCGTTTTTTTTATTATTATTAATAACAAGACGTACTGAGGCATTTCTTGACACCACGGGCGACTGCTACGGTGGACTCCAGTACCTTGGCCACCATGCGATCCGGGGCATTCAGGATCTGATTCTCCGTCCAGTGGTTCTTGGCCAGGCGATGCTCGTAATTGAATGTCATCCAGGGATCAATTCCAGCAGCCACCAGCGAGAAGTGCATGCAGGAGTGCGGCACAGCCTCTACACTTTCAACAGTGCCTGCAATACACAGTGTTCATATTGAACGCACAAAGACGCATGAACATGAAACATATTCAGTATAACTCGGGTAAGGTCTACCCGTGGACAGCAGGAAAGTTTACAATTACAGTGTTCTCAGTATCCGAGAGACGTATGTTTTCCTTTTCTTGTTTTGACGTCTTATCCCACACTACTAGTTCTTGGTTTAGTTTTTGGCCTTTTTCGTGCTTTGGAGTTATTTGTTGTTGACATGTAAAAAAAACCCCAAAAAAACAATACTAGTACTTTAGCAAAGATGAATACACCCATGCTCTGGACAATGTCAGTACTGATCACGAGTACGTACGAAGTAAAAGGTCCACTGTACAAGCCTACTAGTATTTGGATCACGATAGCCAGCGGAGTGGTACAGTGGAGTATCAGCACATCATGCCCCAGACACAATGCTTTTTCTGTTGGTTATCAAGTGACATTGCCTGTGTGTATTGTATTCAATCTACGAGTTAGAATAGCACGAAGTTTACAGAACGAATTTTACAGACCATTCGGCCTTTGTCTTTTAAAAGACAAACAGCGAAGATCCGGCATACTGTAGTTCGGATTATTATAGTATTGGCAAGAAAAATAGATAGCTCAAAATTTCCCCGATCTTGGGAAATGTATGCAAGCCTAGAACCGCAAGCAACTACTTTGTCGGTTCCCCATTTTTTGCCCCGGATGAGAGCAACAGCCCCTCTACCTTTGTCGGTGGAGACAAAATGGAATTACTACTTCGAAGTATAATTTAAAATGTGCACTCACCCGTTAGCATATTCAGACAAAGACTTGCCATGATCACGAAGGAAACGAGCATTTGTACCAACGCCATCCTGACAGACCGCACAACTTGCTGAAGCAGCTTGTAGATTTTCCTACGTCCGCTACAAGTCGCCTGTCAGTCTACTGTGATACCGAACAGAGTGCATTGATCATTAATTTGTTGCGTCTTTCCCTCAAACCAGTGAATATCGATCATTTGCTTTCGCTTTTCCCGTGCTTCGGCTAAGAGCCACTGCAATGACAATCATCCCCTGACGCTCTGTACTTGATTTTCCAAGGTTTGTTGAAGAGGTGTTTACGACGACTTTCTTCTATCTATTGCCACCTTTCCTGTTAGCATGTTATCGTGAGTATAAGGTGTGGTTGGTGCTGACGTTAGAACGCCGACTCGTGACCAGGGCACGAACGCGGTACACCACCAGAATAAGCTCACCATGGCGGTTCTATTGTGGTCCAAATAGGTAGCCTGAACAGGAGAGCGGAGTGTTTGCTATTGTTGTGGTATTCTGAGGTTGTACGCGCTCAAGTCTGAAGAGTTCCAACTCGTGACCGCGGTACGAAAGGAACACTATTGCAACAGAATAACCTCGGGAGTGTGTTATTGGTGCGGTATCGAGGTGTTGTAATGTAAGTGTTCAAGTTAGTGCGAGCTAACAACTAGTGACCACGGCACGAATGCGATACATCCCCAGAGCAGTGTGAGTGGGAATGACTGTACTTGACCTAGCTACCCAGCTGAAACCAACACTCTCTGAACTGGGGAGGTGTGTGAGGGTAGAAGGCATTCGAAAGTACTTAGTAATTCACAGGAGACAGACCGCGAAGCTCGTCACCGAGCCGTTACCGTGTGTACAGACTGAATGCGATGACCACGGGTCACAACTAGACATACAATGCACAATGTAGCGTTTTTGCAATGTAGCGTTTTGCAATAATAATTATAGCGTTTTGCAATGTAGCGTTTTGATCTACTCTGCAATGTAACGTTAGACGAGTACACTACATACTTTATCGGCCGTTAGTCTATTTTATTTAACGAAACTTGTGGTCCACGACCAATTGGCAAACACAGAGAGAGAGATAGATAGATAGATAGAGAGAGAGAGAGAGAGTGCATCCGTTGGTGGTCCCTGCAGAATCTGCTACATGTAGCCCTAAATAGAATCATGATGACTCACCGGCACGCCATGGATTGAGTCGTTTTAGCCTTATCAGAATGACGATGCACATGCCGATTGTGCATGTATTGTGGGAGAGTACAATGACATTGCACTTTCACCGGTTTGAGGGAAATACACAAACGAGAAAAATCTGAAGAAAAAAAATTGACTGTCACCGCCAGGATTCGAACCAGGGACCTTCGCTTGAGGCCAGCAACATATCAACATTGTAATTTCCTAACATTGTAGTACATGTAATTTCTCAAAATAAAATGCATTGCATGGCTGATTGGCGGTCCTTTCTGGCGAACACAAAATACAGTTGAAGCCTCCCAAGATCAAGTCGTGGTCGGGTGTGTGAGCCCTTCCGGTGTGCTACTTGATGTGGGCTACCCTCTCTCATCAAGCATCAAAGAGTTTGTCTCTTGCGCAGTTCGTGACCTGCTTGCTTTCCCACAAGAGGAGAGTAAAATGCGCAAGCGGGTCTCGGTAAATATTGCGTGGTCGGGAGGAAATATCACCAAGCACGCCTGCTGTTTCTGCAGATGTATCAACGCGTCACACAGAAAGGAAGTAAACTTGGACAATCTCTGTGTCCCTTGCCACACGCAGTGATGTTTCATTTACGTTTTCGACACTGTTGTAGGTCTGTTACATGCCTTAGTAGTACGCCTGGATGAGTTTGAGTGCGAGGGGCATTCCATTACACCTTGCATAGCCCCATATTGAAGTGAGCCATTACGAGGACATGAATTTTGTGCTGGGAGCTGCGCTGGAGACCCCGACACGGTTGCAATAGGGCAGGTTTGGAGTGTTCAGTGCAGCTTCCAGTACTTCTTTAAGCTCATCACCTCGTGCCACGATCACACTGCTGTAACTTAGTCAACCTACCTGATGAGGGCAATTTTGCCGAAACGTTGTAAAAATGTGATTGAGAAATGAGTTCGAGTTTGCAGAGTGAATGGGAAGAGAGCGAGTTTGCTCGGAAACCTGTTTTTCTTATTCAACCTAGTCCTAGAAATTCGGTAGTAAGGGCAATGTACTGTAGTCAGGGTATGTGTTAACAAATGCGTGAAAGTAAATGCGATATAAAGCAACATACTAGTTACGTATTCCGTGATCACCACAAGCTGACTATGCCGCATGCGATTGTCATAGTGTTAGGTACCACCTCCCGTACATTTCTAGCTGGCCTGCATGCCCTTGCGTACGCACCTTTTGTCTCCTTTTGCTCCGTTGGCCTGGGTAGCTACTTGCGCGCCCATATTTGCCATAGCTACCCAGGCCCTTTATCTTGCCGTTTAGACTTGATCTCACTCTCTCTTTTCTCACTCTTCAATGTAGTCGTTTCGTTCGTCTTGGTCTCTTGTCTCGTCGTCTACTAGTATAATAAATGTCGTTCCCACTAACCTGTTCCCGTTGTAATGACATCGTACGCATTATACAATCAAAGTGATGTTCTGAACGCACGTGACGTCATAGTGAAATCATGGCGATCTCATACTATAGTGAAATCATGGAGATCTCATACTATAGTGAAAACATTATGACGTCATGTTGACATTATGGTGACTTCATTGTGACATCATGTTGGCGTCATTGTGACATCACGGCGACGCCTGTGAATTGGATGGAATGGGAACATAGCGGTGTCGTGTAAGGGCAGAGGACCTGTCGTCACCAAGTACAGATTGCGACATCGCCACTCGATCATTGCCATTGGCTACCACCTCAGCGTACCCGCGCTGCCTCTTGGCATTTATTTTCTTGTTCCTGTGACACATAAACATGATAATAATGAGACAGAGTACAGCGAGGACTCCGCAGACACCAATGATGGGTTTTCATTTGACCCGACGAGACCACACGACGCTTGCAGACCACAGCACGAACAGTTCACAGATGACATCTTTATGGAACGAAACAAGACTTGTCAGGAGTAATACTACTTGCTTTCGTGGAGTGTGGCTGGTGAACTGTTCGTGCCGTGGTCTGCAAACGTCGTGTGGTCTCGTCGGGTCAAATGAAAAACCTATTACTAATATTTGACGGACCTATGGAAGATGGCAACAAAGAATATTAATCATGGTATTGCCCATTGGACCCTTGTTCCTGTATTTAACCCTTGTTCCTGCATGTTTTTCAAGCAGGTGCTCTATTCATCCAAGCCAGTGCCTATTGATGTTCAAAAACAAACCTCTTTTGTAACATGCTGTATTGCTGTATACCAATGAGTATTATAAAGCAGTATCACTACTGTAATCAAGTTGAAGAGTAATGGTAAGAAAAAAAAGTTAAAAAAAAAGTAAATTATCGTGTCCGTTCCCGAAGGGAACTCACGACGGCCGCTAACACCCAATAAACCCTAGCGGCAGATGCAGCGCCTAACGGTGGGGGTGAGCAGATAAGTCTCACAACCACTGGCACAAGTGCCGAAAACGACCCCATTAGCTGCATCCATGTACCCCTTGTGCCTGGCCACAAGTTCCCAGTTGACTGTGGGTAGCAGCACGGCTGGAAAAACCGTTCCCAGGCAGGACTTGAACCAGGTACCTCTCGTATCTCAATCATGGTCTTTGACCAACCCACTGTGCCTGCCTGGTCCTGGTAAGAAAGGCCTTATTCAAACTTGCACTGGCTTCTGTGCTAACTGTGGTTAGTAATTGTGGTGTAAACACTCTACTACTGAGTGACATGCGACGTTGTATGACATGGGCAAATAAATAGATTGTCATGGGTCGTGTAAGACTCGGCTAGATGACTTGAGCAAATGTCGAGCATTAATTTGGTTGTCTGTTAGCGTGTGTGTGTGTGTGTGTGTGTGTGTGTGTATGTGTATGTGTATGTGTATGTGTATGTGTATGTGTATGTGTGTGTGCGCGCGTGTGTGTGTGTGTATGTGTGTGCACATGAATGCGTGCGTGCATGTGTGTGTGTGTGTGCCAACACGGCTTTGTAGAATGTATTTGCCTTCATTAGAGAAAGATGTGTCGACGAACAATAGTTTATACAATCATCTAGGTTTTGTACTCTTGAGGGGCTGACATCCAAGGGCTTTCGCTTTCCTGTCAGCGTGATCAAAGCAAGTGCCAGTGCAGTTGGAATTCCGGTAGTGGTTTCTTTTTTCTGTTGCCGAGATGAGAACTGTATTTTCCGATGATATGTAGCTAAAGTTTCTGGAGGTGTGGCATTCCATCATCGCAGAAAAGTAGAGAAAGATGATTCCCCAAACCGAAAAGCCAGAACAAGCTGCCATCGTATTGAACGAGTACACTGTAGAAAAATTGGTGACTTACCCGATCAACTGACAACGAAGCAACTAAAAAAGTTCACGTCGTCCAAAAAGGGCAACGAATGCAGTTTTTTATTTGGCGGTACGTGCGTGCGAGGACCTCAATCACAAAATGTGCAAATGTCGAGGATGACATCGACAACGGCCGAGTTTCATAAATCAACACACCAGAATTTGAGAAATTGAACAAACTTCAGGCCAGTTCGTACACAAATACGCTTCACGTCTACGATTATGTTGCCACCAAGTTGTGGCACCCCCTCTGGAGGTCGCAGTCACGATTTGAAACGTGGCCGCGACGTTTAGGTCAAGTGCATGCCGTTGCTATGCAACTTGGCCGCGTGGCCGCATGGACGCTGATTTTGGTCGCAGTGTGAGCGCGCCCTTAAGGAATGATAATTATTATACAGCAGATTTGGCGCCAGTGGCAGTGCGCGTTTTCCACAAAGAAAATTGGCATAATTATGCAAGCTGCTAAATGTGAGAACAGTGTGAAAAGTGTGAAGATCTATTGTTTGCGCTTATCGGTGGAGGAACACACGATACAGGCGACGCAAACCTAACGCGGAAATGACACAACAACTGATCACAATAAAGCGAGAATAATGAAGCCACTAAGTAAGTTGTGCGTAGTGAGATGATGGTGCAATGTCTCTTCTGTGCAGGCGAGGCGAGACTCACCGCCCTGATCTGCTAACGCGACAGGCTCAGTTGGCGTTCAGGATTGACACTGACACGTCCGCCTGTCACCATGATCGAAATCGGGAGTCCTCACTGATGCCGATGTCGATGTGCACCACGAAACTTGTAGTCAAGAGTATCAGTGTGATACTACATGTAGCAGGTCTAGTGGCAACCACTCACAAAC